GGCTTTAAAACACACTCGTAAAGGAGCGGGTTGATGGCCCTGCAAAGGGCCATCAAAATCTTCCAGCAGTGACTTAATTACACTTCTAAAAGTGTGCTTTGGGTGGAAGCTGGTTTTATGTAAAAGAGCGTGTGTGTCTGTGTCTTTAAAATGAACTTTAAGATCCAGTAGGTTTGTGCTGCTAAAAACAGGGCTAAGCTACTTACAATAAAACTATTGAAACGGGTTAAAATGCGTTTTTGTTGGCGTGTGAGGAGGGGTGAAAAGTTCAAGTTCAAAGTTCAAAGTAGTGTTGTTCATTAACGGAAGGAGGTGGCGAAAAGTGGCTCTTGGAAAGGAGTCAATTTGTAATTCCGGCACCTGAAATGGTGCAGTCCGCCCCAGATTTGAGTCCCCCAGGACCAGGTGCTTTTTCCTGACGCAGAGAGACCACCATCCTGAACCACTGTGGTGCTGACCCTGGTCCTGGGGGCACGCTGTCCTGACCCTGGTCCCGGGGGCGCGGCGCCGCTGCTCGCCGCTGGTCGCGGCCCCGTTGAGTGGCGTGGATCCGCTCTCTGCCAGGTTCTCTGCTGGTTCCTTGTCCAGGTTTTAGATTAAAAGCAAGGAGTTTTTTTAGGGGGGATGTCTTTCTTTTGGGGACATGCTGCCCCGGGCCCAAAGAAGGTGATGGCAGCTCCCCCCAGATCCTCCATGTTCTTTAAAAAGTTGGTCTGGATCGGTCGAGTGGGCCCAGTGATGTTTGTCTGCCTTGGTCCAGAAGTCCTTAGCAGGTAAGGCTGGAATAAAATCGTAATAATTGTTGTAAAATTGTTCAGAGCAGCTAAAATATTTTTGTTGACTGGAGGGATCAGAGGGGAAAAGTTGAGTTCGGGGATATATATTTTGGTGTGGGGGAATTTGCGGTGCGCTGCGCAGACAGCCTCCTCCAATTGTTTTTTTTTATAGATGAGATATATTTTCTATTCCTGTAGTTTGTCCCAAATGAAAGGATCACTGTTTCCATCCTCCCCTCAGCCCTGGTGTTCTCCATCAAAGGGGCTACGTGCTGAAACGTTTCCCCCGGAAAGGAGTCAATCTGGACATCT